CTGCAGCCAGATTTTTTAAAAATGGTGTTAAAACAATGATCAAAACTGTAGGAAATGATTTTTTGGATGAATGGTATTCAGATAATGAAATTGTAGGCTGCATTTCTTTTTCAAACCTAAGAAGAAAGCTTAATTATCATTTTTAAATTATTTTGGAATATTTTTTTGAACAGTGTCTAGTAATTGTGACAATTTGGAGAATAGTACTAATAGATTGCATGAGTCCATTTATTAATCCTGAAACTGTTGTGATGAATCTGCAAAGCTCGATTATTGTTTATTTTTAAAAGTTTTGATCTTCCCTTTTATTAAATCAGGCAGATTAAGAAGCACACCTTTGGCCATGAAACACATTTGCAACCCCTGGAGTTTATATTCTGTGTACATGAAAAAGCCAACATTAAGCCTTGATCGAGCAGAAATTGTTGAGCTACCTGTAAAAATCTCCCACTAGAAATATTTGCTTTTTCTTATTTCTGTAAAAGATAAATTTTATGTTTTAGATTACTGAACTGCATGGGATGTGACTGGTTCCATTAAAAATATAAAATTCTATTTTGGAATGAATATTTATTATTTTATTTATTTATTTTTAAATATTTTTAGCCTCCTTTCTCCTCGAAAGTTCCCAGACGTGGAGATCATATAAGCAAATATCTATAGAACTAGCAGTTTCTTGTCTTGGCAAAACCATCTTTTTATAAATGTAGCCCAGTTAGGCCTGTTTTTTTAAAGAAGAAGCATCATTGGAGTTAGTAAGATAAGTTTTTAATGACTGGCTTATTTTTAAATGAAAGCCTTCTATTTATTTGATTCACCCATGCGAACATTTTTGCAAATACAGAGCAAACAGGAGCCATTGGCTTCTAAATTTCTACCATTGTGAACCCTATATTAATGAGAATCCTCTAATTTTACAGGTGGTAGCTGTGTATCTTAGGAAGCAAAAAAAAATATGCCACGGATCATAAAAAATTAGATTTGTGAATATTGCATTGTATTGGTATTTTTAATGTTCCAAATATTGAGTAAACAGCCATTCCATTAGCTTAATGGCCAGCTAGCTAATGTTTTCCTCTCTTTTTTTCTGTTCTGCATTTATCAAAATAAAAATTTGGAAATTATGTATTGCAAAGTCCCCGAGGGCTATGGCAGTTTAATCAGATTTTAGTGGTGCATCTATTGAGATGGGGTACATTATGTTAATTGAATAGATTTATTAAATTATTAAATAATTTCTGAATAGTTGTTCCGACCTATAGTGTTTTAGACCATTTGCAATTTAAAAAACGTAAAAAAAATATTAAAATACAATGTAAAAACGCAACCTATATAAATCTGTGCAACAAGATAGATTTATTACAATAAACCCTATAAAATCTAAGAAAGACATTAATAACTGAAAACATGTTAGAACAATGTAGGTTTTACTAGCTGTCTCTATAAGGCTAATAAGGGGAGAGTGAACCTGAAGTATAAAAATTCATGGCAGTTCTTTATTACCACATTACTTTAAATGACGCTTACCATACGTAATTTTCTTTCTTTGCTTCTTAAGAATTTTGAAATCTGAAACGTATAATGCTGTTTCTTTTTATAGTCTTTGCTCAAAATCTGTATTTTGTGTGTGGTCCATACGGATCATGTTTTTATGTTTCCTCTTGAAATTCTACATCTGAATTGTCCTTGGGCCCCATATGTTTGTGTGCTTATTTAGGAATTAAGGGTCCAAATTAATCTCTCCCCCCCCCCACAAAAAAAAGTCTGTTTGAAAATCCAAATCTAAAAAAGTAGGTAAGAAAAATCTGTAACACATGCCATCCAGTTAAAATAAGGTGCGCCTGTAGCCAAACTTTGACGTGAACACAATTGCCAGTTTTAGCAGTATCACATTTAGAGGTTTGAACTCTTTCTGTCCTCATGGTTAAATGTTATTATAAGTTTACCTGAGAAAGGGATGTGTGTGATTTTTAGAAAGTCGGTCCTTAGGTCTTTTTTTAAATCATGTGTTAAATTCACAGACCATTCTCAAAAGTTGCATTTCAATGGCGTTCTGGCTTGACCAATGATCCAGACAGAGTGGGCTTTTTTTTTTCATTTTGAAATTGGTATAAAATTGGAGAAATTGGGAAGAAAACATCCCAAAAATTAACCAGAAGTAATGTGTGACGAGGAAGGCATCTTGTCACATATCAAAGACCAATTGATCTGTGATGGGAGAAGATTTTGTGGATTGGAACTCACTTTCCCCCATGTGTTTGATTTTTTTTACTGTTTAAGGATATGGAGCAATCTTGGTTTAGTTTGTTGAGAGCAAAACAAAATGGCTTCCCATTCCTGAACTTTAGTTGAGTTGCTGTCCACGTATTTGATGAACACCATTTTGGGTTGGGGAAAGCTATTGCTGCAATACCTCAACTCAGCCTTGCAAACTCAAAAGAATCATCTTTTTCACAGGCTGCCTCTCCCTCTTTCTTAGAACATTGAGGGTGTGTGTGAAGTTTTTCTCCTCTGAATCTCTATTTGACTTTTGAGGTTCTCCGTCTAGAATCAAGTGACTCACATAGGGGGTGAAGAGGACCGGCGGGCCCAGTAAGAGGCAGCTATGTGGCCGGATTGTGGCTTTTATTAGGTTAGGTAGGTGTTTTGCTCTAGCCACTTCTACAAAAAAACTGTGTTGCGGCCATTGGGATACACATGCGTCCTTTGCTTCCAAGCTGGACTATTGTGACAGGCTTCACAAGGGTCTGCCTCTTGAAGATTGTTTAGAATCTTTTTCTTGTCCAAAATGGGAGCCTATTACTCTGGTCTTGAAACACTTGCTTAGCCTCTCTGTTTCTGAGCTCAGAATACAGTGCCAGTTTTAAAAGGCTGATGTTCTCAGCTGCCTGGCCTAAATTTTGACTATAGGAATAGGTCTTACTCATCTCCATTGTGTAGTAGACAGATTTAGTTTTGCCCCAGAAGGTCAGATGTTCTGTCCCCCAGTTTTGGTCTTTGTCCTCAGAGATGCCCACCAAACCAGCTTTGTGCTTGGTGCCTGAAAAACTTATTCAATATTTTGATTTCACCAGGAATTAAGGAAGCGAGGCAAACAAAGGTAGGGAGTAGCCCTGTTGACACTAAATAAGTTCCATATTTTATGGTGGACAAATAGCTTTATTAAAGACTAACTTGAGAAAGCAACCAGAAGAGAGAGAGAGAAGACAAGCAGTTGCTTTTAATCAAGTCTGTAATTCTTCTTTCACTGTCCTGCTATTAAATACTTGTAGTGTAAAGTGAGTTCTATTTACTGAATAATTGCATAATTTAAGTTTATGGCTGTTTTGAAATTGTTCTTAATTATCTTGTTCTTACTGTGTTCTCAGCCGTACTGAAAAACCTGTAAGGACAGGATATAAATAGGTCTGGGCATCTTCCAAAGGTGATATAAAAAGAGTTCCATTGGAGATTAGTAAGAATGTGTTTTCAACAGACATTTCTTCATAATGTGTGGCTTGCAGATGTATTCCACATTTATGTCAGCTATATTTGGTCTTGAAATGTTTTATGGCCACGTTCTTCGTAGCGGTATTGCATCCTATAAATGTTATCTCCCCAGGCCCTTCTAGAACTCTCTGTTTGGGCTGGGTGGGTTGTTAATCCATAATTTAATAATTTAATAATTATGTCTACAGGGTAAGAGAGGGCTTGGTCTACAACCCTATGAGATTGACATGAGAACTGATCTTGATATAGATGGAGGAGGATAAAACCTTGTCCAGTTTTCAGGAGGTTTTCGACTATAGTCCCCATCGTCCCTGACCGTGGGACTGTAGCTGATTTCAAAGAACTAGCTTTATGACTTTCTCAGTGATACTGAACACAGAGTTGTGGGTTTTGGGTTATGTGGTACCTGTAGAATCTTGGAACCTGTAGCCCCAACTCTGTACACCTTCAGTTGGTAATTAATTAATCCATTAAAATAATTTTACCCCACCTTTCTACTTAAAGTAGACTTAAGGTGGCTTACATCATTAAAAGACAATGTTTAAAAGCTAAAAAAGGCAAGTAGACAAATATTTGTAAAAGAATTGAATAAATACCACCCCCAAAAAAACGGTGAACAAAATTAGCTACAGTTCTTCACACCAGAGGAGCATTTAGCTAAATAAAGTGGGTTCATATATGGTTAAATAAATCATCCTTCCGTAGAACTGCAACTATGAGCAATGCTCAGTATTTCTCATGGCTGTACAGGAAGGTGGCCTTTACATCTAAACAGCAAAAAGCGAGAATACTTTAGCCATGTACCAAGAGTGAAAAACTGCCCATGCTGGCAGCTGATCACTCAGGATAAAATCAGTGAGAGGAGAAGTGCAGGAAAAATGGGACTTCCTGAGAGTAAGAGTGGTTTGGATGCAACTCAGCATCACTGCTGATAAAAGTTGATATAACCCTGTTGACCCAGACTCGGACAAGAGAAAAGCAAAGTCAGGCTCTTCCCCTGGGGAATTTTTGTGAACCTTCTGGATCGCAGCCCCTTCTGGGTGACACATCCACGGGTTTGTTGACGGCTAATTGGCCTTAACGGGCTTTTGATGGCTTTCTGAAGACTCAAGGCACGGTTCCAAGGGAGGGTGTGATGTGCCAGAGGGACAGTTTCTCCCCCTTTTGGTCTTGAACGACGGGCCTTCCCTGTGTGGACCTGCCAGCAACAGACAAAGTTCAGAGAGGGCGTCTGGGAATATTCATCATTTCAGTTTGATTCAGCCCGTCTGATGTCTGATTCACCAAATGTGCTGGTCTACAGACAAGTGTGTGTTCTCCCCTCATTTCCTCTTAATAAAAGGTTCTCTAATTAAACTCCCATGCACAATGCGGAGTGGGGTGAGCGAGGTGCGAGAAAGGCTATAATTGTGTGGAATTCGCAAACAACACCCAGCGTTTGGGTTTGGAACTACTTATTTCTTCCTCTTTCCCCACCGAGTTACTTAACTTGCTCTTTTCCTCCCTTACAGGACTTTGCTTCCCGGGCAAAGCTTGCAATCCAGAACCTCGTGCAAAAAGTCGGGTTTTTTGGGATCCTGGCATGTGCTTCAGTAAGTTATATTTCCAATAGACGTAAACTTTTGTCTAATGTACCCATTCCATACTCATCCCTTTCATCTAAAAAGGTGCATTTTTGTTATCATGGTTTTCATGCTTTATCATTATTTGTTACGATAGTTTTTGTCCCAGTGAATTCGGACACAACTTCTGCCGTTCTCCTTCTCATTTTATCCTTACAACGCCCCTGTGAAGGTACACCTAGACTGAAATAGAGGGATTGTGACTGATCCACAGTTGACCCATTGAGTGTCATCGTGGCTCAGTGGGAACTAAGCCTGATTTCCCCTTTCCACAGTCTGTCCTTGTAATCACTACACCGCCCTTTTTTCCCCACCACGCCAAGCTGTCTTGTGACCTCTGCCCAGACAAATATTCTCTTCCAACATGGCTACCATCAGTTTGAAAAAGCTCGGCACTCTTATCACTATCACAAGGCATGTGTTGTGTGGAAGGGAAACCCACAGCTTCATAAGATGGATGGCAATTTGCTTGGGGCCAGGCCTGCTTTCCTTTGCTGGCGGTCAGCAAGCTCCTTCCAACGTCTACGAGCTGCCTGGAGAATTTTGGGAGTTGTAGTCCCAAAAACATCCACAAAAGACTAACTTCTACTTCCTTGGCTGATGGGTGGATTCATGCTGATCCTTGCTAGGAGATGGCGGGGCGGGCGTGGAAGAGATGGACCGATGATCTCTGATGGCATGGGGACAGTGTTATTTTCCTTGGCTGACCCCAGACGTTCTGCTGCCTGAAGCACAAGTCGAGATGTCGCCCTCCAATCAAATTTAGACTTGTGGTTGCTTCCATCATGGCCGTGGGATGGTGTCCTCCATACAGTTGTGTCCACCCACAAAAGCTGGAAGAACTCTGGAGCAATGGTTGGGAAGTGGCTATTATTGCCTCCCAGAAGCTGCTGCCCTTCACTCTGCCTGATGTTTGAGCCCACTTCGCTGATCTATTTTACTCTGACCACGGCTCTCCAGCGTCTCAGACTAAGGACTCAATCTAGAACCTTCTGGAGTTTACCTTCTGGGTTGTTGTTTTTCCCTCTAATTCTTAATCAACAGTTATTTTAATAGTAGACCATTTCCTTCTCAAACTCCATTTAAAAAAATGGCAGCAGACATAAAAGAATTGCTGTAAATTGGGATGGAGAACAAAGGGGATTTTTGCGATTACACTTGGTTTCCTAACTGGCCATTCTCTTGCTTTTAATTTTCGTTTTGCTTGTTTTAGGGATGTATCCTCTGTCTTCCAGATAGGTACTTGGGACGATGTTCACACGTAAAACACACAATGCTCTGGAAAGCTGTCTCTCTTCCATTCTTTTGCTCAGTTTCCCTTCCCCTCCTCAACCCGGGCCCCAAACACAGACCTGCCCCGTCTAAATGTCTCTTGAGTCACCCGTTTTAAGCCATCATGACATGATTCTTAACTGGATTTGAGTCACATTTTCACAGTCACCCTTTTATGAGGCATCCTCAAAATAAAGCTGATTTCAGCTCAACGGAAGTGCCAAAAAAGCTGGTAAACTGTTGGATAAGAAGATGTCTTTTTTAATCTGCATATTTTCCTCTCCCTCTTTTTGCTTGTTTTTTGCAGTCAAAGACTGCTTTGGTGTAATTTCTTTTTCCTGCTGAATGAGACATTCCACCCCTTGCTTCCATAGGAAGGCCGTTCATGTCAATATAATGATTAAGAAGCATTAAAAAAACTTTTGGGGCACAAAAAAAGCTTTAAGATCTTGCAGTGGGACGTGAATCAAAACTTGCTTGGCTCACATAATCAAATTGTCATCATCATCATCATTGCGAAGACAATGAGAGTGATAAGGCTGATTCTTTATTTGATTGTTACATCTCTGTCCTGTTTTTCCTTCAGTGAGCTGAAGGGATGTATCTATAGCTACTTCATATTTAAAAATTTAAAAATATATATTTGTAAATTTACAAATTTGCTTTTAAATAGTGTTTGTTTTTTGTCTTGGTTCCTTTTTTAAGGAGAGAAATGTAGCAAACATATACCGTATTAAGTTACAAATATTTTTTTCAGATTCCCAGTATGTCACTTACTAACGGTATACCATGGTGGCTCCCCAGTAATTAATAATATTTATGATTGATTTTCATTAAATAATTTATTGCACCCCACTCTTTGTCCAAGGAGCTCGTCCTTATAGCTCTTGTTCCTGGTTTGTTTTATTTTCACAACAGGTAGGCGAGACAGAGCGAGACAAGATCTATTGAAAACGTACTTCTTGCACTGAGTGTATTACATGAATGGTGTCTTTGCTCTTTAAAGCAACTGCCGAGTCAGAAATCTGAACAAGAAAAATATGGAAGTAATTCTTTATTTCATTGCCCGTCGGAGAACCCAAGCTTGAGGTTTATGGGGCTGGGCTGCTTAGCTTCAGCAAGGTCCTTGCTGAGGTTTCCTGGAAAATTGCGTGCCGTTCAAAAGCATCATCATCATCATCATCTTAGAACGGCAGAGCTGGAAGAGACCCTATGGATCATCGAATCCAGACCTTTTCAAGGAGGTGCAGGGCGGAAATCGAACTCACAACCTCCGGCTCCATAGCCAGAAATCCTTAAATCCCTGAGCGCTCCAGCTGTGAATTAAAAGCAAAACAAAAGGGAAGCGGTAGTAGGGCTAAGTCGCTCAAGGAATCGTAGTCTTGAGTTATCAAGTTGCTTTGGATGAGGAGCTGACGAAAAAAGGTCCCATCGTGCGCCCAGACCCGCTCAGATCTTGCAAGCTCCCATCAGTGGCTTCCTTTATTGAGTCAACCCATCTTATATTTGCGCTTCCTCTTTTCCTGGTGCCTCTTGCGGCTTGGCCTGAGTCAGCGTCGAGCGTGGCATTCTCAATGGGGCAGGTGTTTTTCACCTTATTTCGCCACATTTTGTCCTTACCTAAAAGATGCCTCGTCTTTATCTGACTTCTTATCCGACGGCCCTTCACCGTCACAAACGGGCCAGGCCCCCTGTTCTCATCGATTCACAGGGGATTCTTGCACAGAAGCGTGAGGTCTAAATGCACAATCATAAATTAAAAAGTGAAGCCGGGAAGAAATGTTCCTCCCCACTTCAAATTGGCAGAGGACTCTGCCTCTTAAATAGGTTTCTTCTATAGAAATGTGAGTTTGCTGATGTAAATCTTTAGCCGCTGATCCTGATCCTCGAATATATTTCTTCCACAAAAAAGCAGAGCTGCCTGTGGCAAACTGAGGTCAAACTGAGGAAAACATTTCCTCCGTCGTTCCTTAAGTCACATTCGACAACGACATTAAACAGATCGGGGTATGTGTGAATTTTGTCAAAAACTGACCGCTCGGCCCCATGTCTGCCGTTAGCATCTTGGATTCACAGGAGCTGCCCTTACCAAAAAAAATATGACATAATCCCAGGCGTTTTGGACTACGACTCCCACAATCCCCAGCTGAGCAGGGCAGATGGGATTTGTGGGTGCATGGAACTAGACAGAGAGAGGTCGCTCTGGGCAATTTGGATCCACCAAGCCATTGATTGCCCGTCGTCTATTCCCCTCACAACCAGCCCGCTTTCTGAGGTTGTGCAACGCTGGCACGGTGCCGGTTGTGTGCGTTTCCACTTGAAATAGTGGTTTGGGTTTCAGACATGGCCCCCGAATGCTCACTTCCTCCCGTTGGAAATTACGACAGCCGACGCTTAATCTTGGGAACATTTTGTGCTCCTTCTGCCCGACATGAGTGTAAACATGTCTTTTTCCCTGTGTTTTTGTTCCCCATAGGCAGGAATCAGCAGCCCTGTTAATTGTGCAAATATATACGGGGTATTTGACTCTTTAAAAAGATCCTGTAGTGTATTTGACAGCTCCGGGAGAGAGAGGGGCTTCTACTCCATGTAGAAGGGTTTCTGGAAGGTTTTAATGGGTTTACTTTGTAATACTATCTTGCCAGCTTAGTGGCTCGGGATTTGTTAACCGATTTATACGGTCAGCCCATCCAAACCCCAGCAGTGGTTTACACCGGTGTTCCAGTAAAACCAGTGTGTTGGGAATCATATTGCATTGATTATCCAAATCGGTGTGTTGGCTTTCATTTTTAATTTTTATTACTTTTTTTTTAAAGGGTACATCGTTGGATTTATAAATCTGTTGCCCTCCTGTGCTGCATTTTGCTAATTGCAGAAAGGGGACATATTAAGAAAGGAGATCTCAACTTAATACTCTTTTTAAAAAAATGAATATATAACGGCATTCTTTAGCTGGGGTGGGCACCAGTGTAAGTCTGGATGGATTTATCTGCTGCACGGAGATGTAGATGGATTTGGACCTAAGCCGGACTGCTATGTTCCTCTTACGTACCTTGTCTAGACGAGGGATAAAAATATGCATTTCAAATATGCTATATAATGCACATGCAGGTAATATTTTATTTACAGCCTCTTAGCAGAGGCTGATAACTCATCTGCCTTGCAAACAATGCTTAAGAGTTTGTGTAACATTTTGGAAGGTACAAAAATTGTAACAGGCATTTTCTCAGAGGTTAAGGGTGGCTGTCATTTTTCTTTCCATACTGAGAGAATTTTCCCCCTCCCTTCCGAGATGCTGCAAGAGCTGTTATCATCTTTTCAGAATCAGGCACTCTATAGATGGACTACAATTGTCATCATCCCCTCCCATTGCGTGGCTGGCTTTTTGTGTCCAAGGGCACCTTTCGAGTCTCGTTTCTCTTCCAATATTTCTCTCCCAATATATCAGGCCAATAAAACAAAACAGTTTCAGATACGGAAGAGCATGGGAAAGGAAGGCCGATCTCTTTCTAAAACACTGAGGTCTAGAAACATGGAAAACTAAGAATCGCCTAAAATGCAGGTGTACAAAAATAGAAGATGAGACTGTATATTGCATTAAGAGTACATTATTGTTAAACCTTGGCAGTTACCCTGGGATTTTTCCAAAATTCTGGTTTACAGGTAGCTCGGAACGGCAACTCCTGATGAACGTTCCAAAACTGGCGAACCATTGTGATCCACAAAATAGATCTAGCGGTTTTAATTTCCACTGGGAGCCGGGTTTTTGTAGAGATAACGGATCTTGATACCTTGTTTATGATTAACCCACCAAGAGGGCTAGCTCACAATAAAGAGAATTAATCAACACCCTTTTCTCTCTCTGTAGCCATCTCTATCTCTCTTACACACACACACACACACAGAGCAATAAAGATCAGGTTTATGATCCTGTGGCACACACCCCCCTGCTTTGTATTTTGGGAGAGAGCATTCATTGGGGGAAACTATTTGATATATTGCTTTAAAATGGCTGGCTGTGGTTTTGTTTTTTTTCTTATGCATTTCTTATGGAAGACGTCTGTTAGCCATTTCTAATCTGGACATGAGTAGAATGAACTGGGCAGAGTCTCTTGTACATCTGCGACATTGTTTAGCTGATGTCTTTTTTTTTCTTTAAAAAAAAAACTTTGGTGGTGCTTTGATATCCCCATTCCTGGGCACATGGCTTAAAAATTATAAGAATTGCCCCATCTACAAATAATTGAGAAAATAAGACTCCTATGACTTACAAATTATAAGAATTGCCCCCCCTTCTACAAATAATTGAGAAAATAAGACTCCTCCTGCTGAACATGTGTGTAGAGTCCCCCATTGCCCACCTCTGAACTTACTGCAAATCGTCCTTCCCACAGGTGGCCAGCCACGTGTTTCAGGTCACCCGCAATCACGAGAGAAAAGCAATATCCCCCCCCAGCACTGTTTCCTCCTTAATGGAGATACACTGCTACTGGACGGGGAGGTTCCATGGACAGAACCACCTCCTAGCTGATGGTCTCAGCCTCCTCTGTGAATTTTTTGTTCAGACCTTAGAGGTTGCTCATTATTAAAGAATTCTGAATCACATCCTCCTTCTTACTTTGTTTTCCTTTCCCCCCCCCGAACTTTCCAGATTCCAAACCCACTCTTCGACCTGGCAGGAATAACATGTGGACATTTCCTAGTCCCGTTTTGGACTTTTTTTGGCGCCACCCTGATCGGAAAAGCAATAATCAAGATGCACATCCAGGTAAATGAGAGTCACCTCTCTTATGAAAATGCCTTGGTCATCTTTCAACACACATTTCCTTCTCCATGATAGATTTGAAATGGCCCCATCCAGTATTCTGACTCGCCATTAATCACCGTTTCCTGGCATTATATCTACTGGTTTGGCGGGGGAGGACCAGCTTTTCTTGTTTTGAAGGCATGTACCTGGTACAGAAACACCTTGCTGGGTTAATGTTGGGCACCGATTGGAATGTGTCTGTGACGTCACTATCGGGCTCTACATTCACTCCTGCCCTTGCCCCCTGGAGGGTAGTATATCATGGCTAAAAAGCCCCAAATGTTTGAACCAGGAAATTTCTGGTTTAAATATTGACCCTGCCCTGAAATCTGTTAAATGGTTCAATGGTCGCCCTCCTCCTGCAAAATGGAAGTCAATAATCTTGCTTCCAGTGGTGCCGTTGTAGGAGTCATTGAGATAAATGTGTGGGAAGAGCTTCAGAGATTTTAAAGGGATCGTTATATTTTTTTTTTTTTTGGAGGTGGAAAGAAGGATCCTTTTTAATTCCCCATCCTACAAAATCGTTCTGTGAATCTTGGGGTTTTCTTGACCCCGCCAAGAGGTGAGCGGTCCGGCAAATTTCTGCCCTCTCCTTTAGCGAACACTGTTCTGGACATCAGACTTTGGAGGATGTGCTGTTCTATAAATTGTTTGTTTACTTTTATAAATGCTCTTTCTGATGATTTATGTCCACATGTGTTGTTCTATTTTAGGTTTGGTTTTGCTCTGTTGAAGTGGGCTTGAACTGCCCAGATTATTCAGTTTGGGTGAATTCTGAAAAAGAAAATGCATTTCTGTGTCCTCCCCCCCTCCCCGGCTAATTAGAAACTTCTGCTTTCTTAAAAGAAAAAAATGCAAGCATTTTGGATGCAACATACAAGCTGGAATAAGCACATGTATGCTTGTTTTTCATCATGCAGCTGAGACTTTTAGGCAATATCACTGTCGTAGAAGATTTATGGTGCAATCTCTGATCTTTCATGCCAAACAGGAAGCCTGTGAGCCTGTCCCAGTAGTCAGTTTTACTGTTGCATTTCATTGCTCTTTTAATCTGCACCACAAAATTAAGTCATCTGGACTAATGGCAGACTCTTTGAGCTTGAATGGGACCCCATTCAAAGCGTGAATCCTTACATAGCCGGGGGGGGGGGTAACATCCAAAAGAGGGAATCTCAGAGGAAAGGCAAGGTTTGCACAGATACAAAAAAAAATAAAAACAAAAACTCAAAGGGTTAATAACACCACTGGCCCTGCCATTAGGCAGTGAGGCAGTTGATTTAGTGTGGCCAGAAAAGGCAGCATATTACCTGAATGTTTTTGCTGTTCAGCAGGGAGAAAAGGTGCTTTTTAAAGATATTCTTCCTCAGATGTGAAAACAGTTTGGTTGGCTTTTGGCTATAGTTCATCATGACTTTGTAAAAGTCCTATTTAAGACATAAGACCTAAGACATAAGAAATTTATTTGTCATTGCACTCACAAGTGGGTGCAACGAAATGAGGTGCTCTTCCCCAAGGTTTACTACTCCGTGTCAGGCAGGAAAAAAATATATTTGTCTAATCCTACCTATGGTGTAGAGCAGCAGTTCCCAACCTTGCGTCCCCAGATGTTTTGCGACTACAACTCCCAGAAACCCCAACCAGCACCTCTAGTGATGACGAGATCTGGTAGTTTTGGTCCAATAACATCTGGGTTACCCAAGGTTGCTCTAGTGATGGCGAGATCTGGTAGTTTTGGTCTAATAACATCTGGGTTACCCAAGGTAGGGAATCAAGCCATGTAGATGTAAGAATAGCACAGTGGAAACTGACCTGATCTGTAAAACAACAGCAAGAACTGAAATGAACAGAGGAACAATTGACTGCCTTTTCTCAACATCTGAAATCAACTTTCTGTGCCTGATGGTAGGGCCTGCACTAATTAACCTCTATAAACTCAGGGGCACTCAATGAACTAGAAAAATAGGTTTATATGGGGATAGGCAGCTCTTTAATTCATGTTTTGCAGTTTAAAAAAATGTTCAAACTCGGTGTAATTTGAATTTTGCTTTCTAGCCCTGCCTTCCCATGAGTAGTAGATTTTTCTAATTGCCCCTCCAAAAAAACCAAGACCAAACCATGGAATTGCATTGCTTACCCTTGATTTATGGGCCATGTAAACGTAAGAATAGTACAGTGGAAACTAACCTGATTTGTAAAACAACAGCAAGAACTGAAATGAACAGAGGAACAATTGACTGCCTTTTCTCAACATCTGAAATCAACTTTCTGTGCCTGATGGTAGGGCCTGCACTAATTAACCTCTATAAACTCAGGGGCACTCAATGAACTAGAAAAATAGGTTTATATGGGGATAGGCAGCTCTTTAATTCATGTTTTGCAGTTTAAAAAAATGTTCAAACTCGGTGTAATTTGAATTTTGCTTTCTAGCCCTGCCTTCCCATGAGTATTTTCTAATTGCCCCTCCAAAAAAACCAAGACCAAACCATGGAATTGCATTGCTTACCCTTGATTTATGGGGTCTGATCCCAAGGTGATTCTTCCTGTCTCTAAAACATTTTCCCATTAAAAAAAAAACTTGTTTTTCTCTATTTCTTTGAACAAAGCACTTACAACCAGAAAGAAGCACTGCATTAAAAATAACACCAGATAACCTGGAAAGCCACATCAGACATTCCCACTTCTAGCGGGTTCACGTACCTACCTTTCCTCCCCCCCATACCAAAAAAAGCTGTGAAATTATTCTTTTCTAGAAATTGGCTATTATTTATTTTATTTTTATGCCTCCCCTCTGAACGATGGTCATTCAGGGTGGTCCAGAGAAAGTAACAATAACAAAAATGAACGTGACCTAAATAGAATTAACAAATTCAACTGAATAAAATCCAACATTTGAAAGAGAATTAAAATCAGGCGGCAATTGGCTAAAAGACAGATGCTCTTAGGGGTCTGAGGTTGACAGATTTTTAAAAAAGCCTGACGGAATAAATATGTTTTTAGATGCTTCTTAGGTGACATTAGGGAGGGGGCTAGGCAAATTTTGGGTTGTGATTCGTTCCAAAGGTGGAACCCCTCCATACAAAAAAAAAAAGCTGTGAAATTATTCTTTTCAAGAAATTGGCTATTATTTATTTTATTTTCATGCCTCCCCTCCGGACAATGGTCATTCTGGGTGGTCCAGAGAAAGTAACAATAACAAAAATGAACGTGACCTAATCAGGCACACGTTAAATAGAATTAACAAATTCAACTGAATAAAATCCAACATTTGAAAGAGAATTAAAATCAGGCGGCAATTGGCTAAAAGACAGATGCTCTTAGGGGTCTGAGGTTGACAGATTTTTAAAAAAGCCTGATGGAATAAATATGTTTTTAGATGCTTCTTAGGTGACATTAGGGAGGGGGCTAGGCAAATTTTGGGTTGTGATTCGTTCCAAAGGTGGACTGTGACCACGGAGGAGACTCGGTTCTTCTTCTGGATCAGCACCTTCACTGGTCCAGCCTGGGACATATTGCTAGGGTGGGGGCTTTCGCTGGTAGCAGTAGACCTCCTGCCCTGCACTGAGGTCCCAATCCAGTTTGATGGTAACGAATACGTTGATGTTTATAGTCCAAAAAGATACAACATAAAAGGGTCACCTGCTGGAAACAGTGGCTAGTCCATGTTGGTCGGTGGAAGAGCTGAAGACAGCTGGTGGCCCAGCAGAGCCACGGAAAAGCCCAGGCTTCCTCCCTCTTCCTCTGTCCCAGCCTGATGGAACAGACTGTGTAACATCAGGATGTCGATAAAGAGGCCACGAAAATGGAGTCTGAGGGATCAGCCAGAGTATGCAGCTGGCTGCTTTTCCAGCAGTAGTTTCAAGGTTCACAAAATGACTTGACTGATCCACACACACACACCGGGCAAAATATAAAAGCAAATGGATTGAACGGGCAGGGGTGATTAATTGTGCCGGATCACATGCGATAACCCTGTATTGTTTTGGTTCCCCCCCCCCTTGGTTGACTAATCCTCCTTTGTTCTTACAGAAACTTTTTGTGATTATTACGTTCAGCAAACACATCGTGGAGCAGATGGTGTCGTTAATTGGGTGAGTAACTTTATAGCTTCCCTTAATGCCTCAAGTGGCGGAGAAGCCTTGTTCTTAAACCCGTGTTTCAGGCTGGCAGGCCGAAGCCTTGAAAAAAACGTAACTTTTGCAGTTGTCGTATGAAGCGCTAGCTGGGATCAGTTCTGCCTGATCTGCGTACGGTGGGGTTTGCAGCTTTAAAAAAAAAAGAACAGCTAGTAAAAGGTCCATCAAATACAACTGTCTTAAGTAAACAAAACTGCAGTAAAAAGGTGGTTTAGGTCTCTTGGCTGCCGAGCCAGAGGTTGGGAGTTCGATTCCCCACTTGTGTCTCTGACAGGGTCTGGTCTCCATTATCCATAGGGTCCCTTCCAGCACTGCAGTTCTAAGATGATGATAATGATGATGATGCAGGAAGTGAGGGACAGCCAGTGAGCTGAGCAGCACCTCTTGAGTTAAGGACAGTGCCATTTATTTCAGCTTCTGAGTAAAGATTGCAGCTTTTGCTTGGTGTCTTGTCATCCCATTCAGAAAGAAATATGCCGCTGGGGTTCTAGAAACTGCTAGCCAAACCTTCCGTTGTCTGCTTGATTGGATAAATCAGGAAAACAAATTAAGAGGTAGATGTTTATTGATGCAACGTGCAGAACTAGGTGAACTCTAAACTCCTATTCAGATGCCTTTCGGACCTTGAATTTGGAAGATGTTAGAAAATGTCAAATTACTATCAGTGGGGTGGGAATGCATTTGTCGTTTTTTTAAAAAAAAACATTGAACTGTTGTCAATTTAACCAGTATACCAGAGTTTATGAAAGCTCGGTTTTTAGACTACAGGTCCCCCCTTGGCTGGAGGATTCTGGGACACACCGACCCACACACACACACCATGTTTTCATGCTGTTTAAAAATGCACACACAAACAATGAGTGTCTATCTCTGATAGGAAGTGATTCAGACTTGTTTTAAAACTAAGAATGTATTGACTCTTACGGGCAGGAAATAGAGCAAGGCTGTAGATAACAAACATTGAATTGCTATCCTTTTAAAATATATTTGTGCTGGAGTTCTGTCTGTACTGTCACTGTGCTGAGAAAGACAATAGCATACCATACACATAAATTATTATTATTATTTTTCTTTGGGTGGGGCAGTGGAGTGTCCACTGTAAAAGTGCCGAGCAGGGTGTGTGACCTTCCATTAAACCCTCAAATATTTTAGGTTCCCCCCCCCTTCTTCACAACAGTTATAGCATGCTGCCTGATGTTTTAGAAAGCAATCAAAAATCCCATTTGATATCCCCGCTTATTTTCCGGAAATAGGTTTCCCTCTGAATGTATTGTGCCTGGCATTTGCGCCATGGCTGCTGTGAACCCGGTCCCTCTTTGTGGGAAGATGGGAGCAACCTCTGAATTGGGAACTAGGTCCAGAAGGTTTTAGGAGGCATCCCCTGAAATTGACTAGAGGAAGAAGGATGTAGTTCTTCGCAGTTCTCTATAAGGAGAACCCTGGAAGTTGTCCGAATCTCAGTGCTTCGGCGTTTCCGATTCCAGTCTGACCATGTTTGCCTCCGGTAATATTGTCAGTGCTGGGTTAGCTTGGCAGGTAGCGTTTCCTCTGCCGCCACCACCATCAGCAGCATCACTAAAGATGGGGAAGATGTGCCAAGTCTAGCGATGTAGCCGCCCAACAGCATCTTAAGAACCCCATCGTCCCCCTACTTTTGCTGTCCATCTTGTTCGCAAAATAGCGACCGTTAGTTTGTCACAAAACGGAGACCATATGCCTCTTGACCTAGGTGGGCGTGCTTCACTTCACTGCTTTCATGGGCACGATCTGCAAATCAGAAAATGGACGGTTGCTTCTTTTTGTGCTCCATATATAATTAGATTGGCTTAATAGCCATGATTTATATTTCTGGTATTCTCTGAGGGGAATACCAGAGAATCGGAATGTCTGGAAATAATAATCGCTTGGATGAATGTAAACGAGACGTGGATAGCACTATACAAAAGGATCCGTAAGCATTCGAAGTAACTTCCTTAAATACTTCAGTACTGGAACAAATTTTTAAAAATTTTTTAAACTTCCAGAGTTTCAAAATGAATGTTTGTTGTCGCAAAACCCCCTCCCACTTACAAATATAAAAAGAGGTTGGTCAGTGCACACACACTTACTAAAGGCTATTCTTGACAATCTGCAAACAGAATTAGCATTCTGCTGAGGAAGTACAGATTTCAAACATGCCAGACTTTTGGGCCAAAGTTAGTAGGATTTTCACTCATCATTACTCAGAGCTTCCCCCAAACTTATCTCGTGTACTGTCTTCGAACAAAAAGGAAAAAAAAAACCTCTGCTGGATTTAGGACTTTCTTAAACAGTTGATGTCAGCCTTTAAAAATGTTCTCGAGAGATGGGAAGATTTTTGGAATGTCCTGATATTGTTCGATGGTTATTATTTCTTTCTTTCTTTCTCCGCCTCTCTTCAAGTACCATCTTTTTGACATTACCTCATCAATTTTCTCTCTAGCTTAGTGTATAAAAACATGCAAGACCACTACTGGAATCAGAATATCTGAGTCATTATCAGATGTAATCAAATGCAATAACTTGTCTTTTGTTTTTTTCACGGCACACTTAGCAAACACCACCAAGTTGTCAGGGTTGATTTCAGTTGATTCGACCTTGACAGGCCCGATGTTATTTCACTCCCCCACTCCTGGATTTAAGCACTGTTAGAATTTGGTCAGATGGTTAAGTCTGTGTGCTTAATTCCGACTGCCTTGTGCCATATTTAAAGTCTTGAAATTGTATGGCCTTTCTGCTTTGGAGTCTAAAAGCAAAACGTAAGCTGAATGTAAGAAACCGGATAACACTTTCCCAGTCTCAGATTATTTATTTTAATGGAAATATTTTGCCCTCCTCTTCATCGCAAAATGCTCATTAAAAAAAAAAAGTCCTGGCAAACTGGTAGAGAAGAGGCAGGACCCAAAAAGAATAGGAAAGGAAGGGTGGTTTAAATGCAAGTCCAGACCCTCGTTCTTAAAGTTTTAAGTAAGATTCGCTCTCACGTAGGTGTGTTTGTCATGTAAGTGAGGCCATCCCTGATGGGGAGAAAAAAGACAGTCATGGAAACTAGTGGTCCAGCCAATCCTGCATCCTGGTTTCTATTTATATTGAAGTGCTTTCTCAGAGGCATTTTCATTTTGCTGTCCCAAAAATTCTGCCCTTATGTTGCACTTTTTCCCCTGTAAATTCCCAGCTGCTGTGATTGTGACGACATGTATTTATTTGGAATATAAAATGTAAAACACACAAACACCGTTTTTGTTTTTCCTTTGCAACAAAACAGAATTTTTTTCCCCCCACATCGCTTTGGCACCATGCATTTTCTTTTAAAATTAAATGCGTTTGTTTGTGGCCGTTCAGAATTAAGTCTCCGCGCCTCTGTTATTCACGGCTTTTCTTCCATGGCGTACCCAAAACCTCAAACGGGGGAATCCTTTCGCAAGATTATGATGAATGGGATACTTTTTTTTTTTGTTCATTTGTGGTTTGCTGTTGCTTCTTTTTTTTTTAAATCTAAGCAGATTAAATTTATTTATTTTTAAGTGTTGGTATTTTTTTTAAAAAATCCTTTGTTTTCACAGCCCAACCATACGACGATGTAGGAAATGACAAGCAGCACTTGCTTTTAAAAAGTTGCCTTTAAATTCTAAAGCCAATGTTTTGGTTTGGAAGGCACATTTTCCCAAGGTTGTTTTAAGGGACTCTCAGCAATCCTTCTTAAAGGTTAAAAATTTGGTTGACGGGGTCTGGGCCCAGTTCAAGTCCCCTCTTCTCTCTCCGCTGCCTCTTCCCATTGATTTCGGATAGATTTCTGATGTTTAGCATTCAAGACAGAGAAACTGAACCTTCTTTTTTGCAAGCTTTTTTCATTTTCCACTGCCCAATTTCAGTGGAATACTAAGTATTTCATTTTCCACTGCGCAATACTTTCACAAAGTATTATGTGACGTTAGGGTGAGGAGTCAGTGGCGCTGCAATAGCATAGCTCTTACATGTGGATGGATTTTAAAACAACTGTATAAAATACTCCAGGATGCATTTTGAATGAACTGGAGCAAAGAGGCTTCTTTGGGAGCAAATATGAGGCAGGATATCTAGAAAAGACAATAACTCTGGGAAAGGTGGAAGGCATGAGGAAAAGAGGAAGACCCAACATGAGGTGGAGCGACTCCCTCATGGAAGCCACAAGGTTGAGTTGACAAGAGCTGAGGAGGGTAGTTGGAGACGGAGTATTTTGGAGCTCACTCATTCATAAGGTCCATTCATTTATAAGGTTCATTCAGACAACAATTCTTGAAAGAATAAACCTTTGAAAGAACAAATCTCCTACAGTCCTTTACCCGTTGGCCAAGCAGGGCTTCACCTTCTGGGAACTGAAGTCTAAACATCGGACAGAACAAAGGCTCCCTACCAGGCAAAAGTAGGGTAGCCAGAGAGGGTGATGATCAAGGCGGCGAAGATTTGAAGGTCTTTCAAGGAAATTCATACAGACATTTTAAAAGGGATCAGAGTGCTGTTAAATATATTAGTTGCAGTGCTGGGTGAGACCACACTGAAGGACGGAGATCTGTCCGTCCATCCATCCATCCATTCATTAGTCTGGGCGGTTCACACTATAGAATAAAATCATACACTAAAGCATTATATAGTGAATACAAAGATACAGTCAAATACAATAAACCCTGTTTCTAGCTAAACTCTGCCTTTAAAAAAAAACACATTAAAGCCCATTATATCTGGGACCAGTAAAATTATAGGCTCCTAGAACTATCCTATCTATGTACAGCCAGGTGGGCTCTGACAAAAGGAGTTGAGTAGTGTTTTTTTTAAAGGGGTGTGTGGGTAGGTAGAAACGAGGCACAGATGTCAAGGAAATTCTAGACATGTAGGGCTTTAATCCCTTTTAAATGGATCACCGCAGGTAATAGGTTGAGGAAAGCCGGCAAGATCCATGG